TCCACCAGTAAGTTGTCCAGCTCAAGTGCCTTCTGCATTTTTTTTTAACCCTTTTGGCCGAGTGTAGAGTCATCTAGAAAAATGATGACCATGTGGGAACAAAACTACTTGCTTAAATTTAAAACCTGTAACAGTCCTGTTGCATTGACAGTCTCGCGGGATCTATGCCCATACTGATGTAAATGGTTGTCTGTATGGTGGCACTGAATCAGAGTTGCAATGTGCCAGACCCCTTACCATGATCTAATAAAGAGAGGGTCCCTCTCATAAAAGGCTGATAAACTAGGTGTGTGATGACAACCATTGGATACAAGAAGCAGATGGCAGAACACAACGTAAGTGAAATTGTGAGGCCTACAGCTGAATGATTAAGTCCATCTAATTTTGGTCTTAAAAAGCTCTAGTCATGAGGGATTCCACAACCTCCCTTGGAAGCCTATTCCAGAACTTAACTACCCTTCTAGTTAAGTTTGCCACAAGGGCTATTTAGGTTAAGCCCCTTACGTACTTGCTCTAGCACCAGTAGATCTGAAGAACAATAGATGATGGCATCCTCTTTATAACAGCCATTAATATATTTGAAGACTTTAGGTCCTTCTTCAATACTTGGTTCTCAAACTAAACTGGCTCAGTCTATTTTTTTTAAACCTTTCCTTGTAGGTCAGGTTTACTAAACCTTTTTGTCACCTTTTGTTCTTCTTTGGACTCTCTCTCCAATATATTTGCATCTTCCCTAAATTGTGGCACCAGAAGTGGACACAATATGCCAGCTGAGGCATCACCAGTGCTGTGCAGAGCAGGACAATTATTTCCCTCTGTTTTACATACAACAACCTACTAACACACCCCAGAATATTAATCTTTTTGCAGCTGCATCTCAGTGACTCCTAATCAGTTTGTGACACATTCTTACCCCCAGAGACTTTTCAGCAATGCTGCAGCCTACCTTGTTATTTCCCTTTCGAATTTGTTCATTTTCTCCCCCTCCCCCTCTCCTTCCTACAGGTAGTACATTGTACTTCTCTTTAATGAACATCATTCTGTTAATTTCAGACCAATTCTCCAGTTTGTCAAGGTCTTTGAACTCTCATTCAGTCTGCAACTTTTATAATCATGTTCTCCATTGCATTAAATGGTAACAGAGAGCGTAAGATGGGAAACTGGGGGGAAGTTGATACATAAACAGAATCCCCCACCTGAAATCTTGCTAGAGCACTGGGCTTTTTAACTGTGTTAACTGGCAGATGAATACTGATTTATTTTTCACTGGAGGGAAGGATTTCTGTATTGATTCCGGGGGAGGGAGAAATGGCCCTCTTCACACAACCTGCTGGGAGAGTGACTTGGAGGAGGAATGGTAAAATTACATTTGCTAAGCCCACTTCTTACAGCACCTATGTTAGCCACATACTGCGCTAGCTCAACCCTTCTTACCTGCAAAGACAGCACCGGCTGCACACTCAGGTCCATCCTTACCCATACACAAAACACACAGCCATAAGGGGCACCATGAAATTCAGGGCACAAATTTGCCCCAACTTTCATGGTGCCCTATGCAGCTGCATGTCTTGCATATGGGCTCTGGCATCTCCCCTCCACCTCCCTGCAGACTTGGTGTCATGGATTCAGTAGCCCTGGCCCCATCCCTGGTTGTCCCCTTGGGCTCACCACCTGCTCACCAAGAGATAGCGCTGTAGGACTCAGTCAGAACAGGAGGCAGCTGTGCAGCAGGTGGCTGGAGAGAATTGGTGCTTTCCCCTTAAGTGTTGCTTCTCTCTGGCCAGCTGCATGACCGTCTGCCACTCCTCTGGCCTGACTCCAGCAATGACAACTCTCCTAGATTGGACACCATTGCTGTAAATCAGGGGTGTCCAAACTTTTTTCAAAGAGGGCCAGATTTGATGAAGTGAACATGCGTGAGGGCCCCCCATTTTGCCTGACATTCTTTGAACCATTAAAATTAAATGCAAATTAACTATTTTATGCAAAGTTTATTGCAAACGGCATACTTTTCATTTCGTCACATGGATGACAAATCTAAACAGGTGTTAAATCACTCTGCCTTTCATATCTGAAGGCCAGATGAAAAAAAAAATCCAGGAAGCTGAAATATATGTCAGGAACATTGTAAAGTACATTACATATTATTGGTAATAAAGGTTGTCTGTCAACTTTTAAGTTCAAAAAATATGAACAGGAACATAACACCAAGTATACATGTTGTGTCCAAATATATTTATAACTGATTTAGACCAACTGACATTAACTGAGATTTTACAATGTATTCATCTCAATACATATGGATTCGTTGGGGGCCATAAAAGATAGATATTGCCAAATTACCTGGGGGGCCGTATTAAACCGGAACACGGGCCGCAATTGGCCTGCGGGCCGGACTTTGGACATGCCTGCTGTAAATGGTATCTGGTCCATCCAGTCCAGGAGAGTTGGTAACTCCTTTCCCCCCAGCTTCAGCTCCTTCATGCACAGTGGATGTTCAGGGGATTTGGTGTGGGGGAGTGGCAGTATGGGGCTGTGTAAGGCAGCAGCACTGCTAGAGACAGTCCTGTCTACACTAGCACCAACTGCTTCTATGTTTAAAAACAGCTGCAGCTGAACAAGGCTTTCATTGCTTTAGCCTTCCAGGATCCCGCTGGACACAAAAGTCACACAGCCTAACAACAAAGAAAAGATGAAATGTCTCTTTGTTAATGAAATGTGTCTCTTTGTTAATAACATTTTTATCTGGGCATCTTTCTAGCACATCAGGCCTAAGAGCCATTAAGAGAAGAGACTATGAACCTTGGGCTAAATCAAAAAAGAACAAAGGATGGAGAATGCAAACAGTAAACGAGTAAGTGACACACACAACTGGAGGAAATCAGAAAAACAGGAGCAGTGGGGAAAAAAGCACAGGAGAGTGTTTGCAACATGTGCAGTGGACTGCCCAGCTTTCTGACAGCTTATCTCGGATTCCTTCCATATGTTACTTTATGCATGGGTTCCTGTTTTTATGGGGTTTTGGTCTATAGCTTTTATAGTAACATGAATGATTCACAGCTGCTCCAACATCTAATTTATTTTCTGTCTTCTCCTGCAGGGAAAGGGCTGGCTTATTCACTTCTGGCCAAGCAGAGGAATGGAAAAGTAGCAAGGTGGGGAAGGGGACTGAGCCAACTCCTGAAACGTGACTTTGTGTTTACTATTAACTTTCACTAATGGTGTGTGTGATCCCTTATGCCAGGGGTGGGGAAACTTTTTCGGGTCCTGGGCCACTGACACATAGAAAAATCTGTCGCACACAAGTGAGAAGCAAGAAAGCAAAACAAACAAAAAACCTCCCAGCACTGAAGAGGCCCCTGACTGAGAAAGACATTCCCTCTGCTCCCCTCCCACACCAGAGACTGGGGCAGGTGGGGCTAGGGTAATAGATTTTTGTGTGCTCCACAGGGGAACAGGGGCCATCCCAATGTTGGAGCCCTAAGCCTCAGGGGCCAGATCCTGTTCTGCATCTGCCCCAGGCCTTAGGCACAGGGGGAATGTGCATGTGCAAAAATCCTATAATTGGGACTCACTTGCAGCAGCAGGGCCTTGCTTGCTCCTTGGCCCCTATTGTGATAGCACCTTAACAAAGGATAAGAGCTACCTCCAAGCAGACCCATTGGGGTGGATGATTTTACTTTTCAAAGACTCATACACAATCTAGAACCTTTAATCTGCTCTTCCAATTTGGGTGAATGAACTCCACCTCCCTGCCTTCCCCCTACTGCTTCAATTGGATAGTGCATCGACATGGCCTATCTTAGGCACCTGCTTTCACGGTGCCCCTTCGGGACATTTCTACACTGGGCCTTGGGCTTGTTCTCCATCTGTAAAGTGGCCTTTCCCCACAGCCCACCCTGCCTCCCAGTGCCTTTCAATCGCTCGCGGGGGTAGCAGCAGGCTGGGGGAGGCGGTGGGTTAATGTGGGTCTACAGGGGAGCTGCCCTGTCCTTCCTCCCCCCCCCTCTCCCCGCCTCCTGGGGCGCTCAGTAAAAGCCCCTCTGGCCAGGGCGGGCTTTTCTATGGCGCACTGTGATTCTCACCAGCTGTTGCCCTCGGTGCTGTGGGAAACAAGCCGCTTCCCGCCCTCCCAGCACTGAACTAAAGCAGCCACGGGCTTGCAAAACCCCCCAGCCCTCCCCCCCAGGCTGGACCCAGGGACTCCAAGGCTACCCGCACCCAGACTCCTCCTCTCCATCACCCCAGCCACAGGCAGGCGGCGGGAGGGCGGCCCCCC